TCTAGAGAAACTTTGTACCAGAAGAAAAACAAATAAATGAAAGAACATTAATAGTCCAAAAACAGCACACAAAAGTGATTTGAACATATTCAGGGCGACCGTTTTTCATTATAAAAGGTTGATGGTACCACATTCCACTTGGAAGAAAGCCATTTGAAATCTGGAGACTTGGGAATGCAGCAGTTATATTTTAAGTCAAACAGTTAATTAATGACTAAACAAAAGAAATTTCAGTCTGGACAATATATATGGAGTACTAATAAGTGTAATTATGAAGTAGTCATTTGTGCAATCAGAAAGTTGCATTAGCATAATTATTTCTGGCTCTGGGACTTAAAAATAGTAACTTAAAATGTAGAAATCTTGTAATAGTTCACCTAATACAGATGTGAATACCAACCGATTATGAAATAAGAGTGGGTTCCATTAAAGAACATGCTCTGTGTTTCATACAGTCTTTCTCCCCTGCGCCAAAAATACAAATCAGGCCTAACCCCAAGTACTGGTACAAAATTTCTACTCTTAATATATTTTCTTCATTATCCAAAGCCCACATATTAATAATATTCATGATTAAAAATCAAACCTATTTCTCTAGAAAATAAGTGCTTGCTTACTTTTTAAAAATAAGCTTGCAAAAATACATTGTTTATATATAATACTTGAAGATACAATTGAATAAAAATGTCAAACAATTCTATAAAAGGATTAGAAGTCATTAAAATGCTGAAAGATCATGGAAAAGCCCACCTGAAATTGTTCTTTGGGACAGAACAGGAGGGTTTATGAGCCCCGAAGTCAGGCTGCAGGGACTGGACTTCCCAGACCCTCCCTTTGCAACTAGCTCCAACTCTGGGAACACTATGTAACATCTCCATGTCTCAAGTTTCCTCATCTATAATACAAAGATAATCAAATAACCCGTCTCATAGCATTAATTCAAAGATTCAATGTGATTATTCATGTAAAAGACTGAATAGTGCCTAGCATACAATATACGTTCAATAAATGTTGCTTCCAACAATTACTGTTGTAGTCATCATCATTTCCTCTCTGGTCTTCAGAACCTTGGGAAGAGTACTTGTGGTTGAGAAAAGAATAATCTAAAATTGATCTGTTTTTAGGTACAGCATCTAATTTATTCTGCAACTGTAAATAACATTCAAGAAGGACAGGAGATTTTATGTATTTCAATAGGTTAGAAAAGGTTTAAAATAGCTTAACTAAACCAAAGATCCCTCATCTTGTCAAAGTCTTCTTTTGGTGACTTTCAGCTGCACCAAATGTTCGCACTGACACCCCACCCCACCCCGGCCAATATTAATTCTTCGTAACTCCTTCTAATTCAAAAGTACAATGCAGAATGGATTTGCTGAGTACACTAAAGCAGCTTAGAGTTAAAAGAGTCTTCAATTAAAAGCCTAGACAACAAATAATAGAATGAAAGTTCCTGGGCATTAATAAGTAACATGAAAGAAACTAAGTTCAGAAACAGACCCTATCAAATGTGTTGTCTTGACCAAATTATTCAACCCTATCCTACCTATACTTCTTCATATCTAATAGGAAATATTACCCATTTTAAAATATTATTACAAGGCTTAGAAATAATTATAGAAAATACCCAGTCACTAGCAAAGAATGGGTACTCAATAAATGGCAACATGTGCACGGGCCCCGTCTCACACCCTCTCCCCAACACACACGTGCATAAGCACAGGCAGGCACAAGTATAAAAGCTGGTATCTTGAATAGCCACAAATATTTTAACCCAAATCTGAGTAAAGGAATTCCTTAAAAGTATAAGAGGAGACACTTTATGTCCAGGATTTCAACCATACACATTTAGCAGAGGGCAGGCGGTGAAGACACGGGAGACCAAGAAAGATGACAGCTGCTATTTTTCACAGGCAGCTCCGACCTCCAGTCTTACTTGGCAAACATGCTGTGCAGAGTGAGATGGAAAACACAACTCTATCACGCACTTGACCACTCTCAGGCCCACAGACCTCTCCCAGTGAGTGTCCTCTGTCCTAAAGAAGGGTGATCTGAAGAAATGCTGTTTTTAAACAACACGGCTTCTAAACACAGGCTGACTGCTTCACTTGGCCTTTAACCAAAACACAGCATCTATTTCAACTCTAGAAGGAAACAGTCTCCCAGCAGCATGGTGCAGCTGTCCTTCACATGATGAGCGAGTCAAGGGGTTTCGCAGCAGTGTTGACTAAACAGGATATACCTGCACCTAGAACCACAAAGCCCCAGCGAGAGGCGAGTTCATAGAACTTGGTTTTCTTCAGATTTTAATGGGAACATAAAGGATGGCAAGCTGATGAAAATGGGCAAGTATCAATACTCCACAAGACCAAAGAAGGAAATGCTTTAGTAATTGTACTAATTGTTGTGCTCCTTCTAACATCCAAGCCAGTTCACTGCCACATAACACCCTGCGGAATTAACAACCCCTAATATAAGTCTTCCACTGTCACACTTAATATTCCTCTATTTTTCCTGAAGCCAAGAATTAAATAGGAAAAACACACCAAGGTCTTTTACCTATCAATTCAGTTTTCTCCTAAGAGTTTTCGCCAGTGTTGTGCTAACAAACTACTGCAGGATCAAGCTATCACAAGGGCCAAGGACACTATGTGACTGACTGCCCTCCTCAGCTGTGCCACCTTCTGCTGCCATCAACCTTGGGAACACACTTTCTTTGTGCCTCTGTAGCAGCAATCACCTGCCAAAGAGAATCACCTTTTCTTATCCATAACCCCAATTTTACATTCTATCAGTCAGCAAGAGGGATGCATTTCCTCTCTGGAACTTGGACTATAGCAACCCGTGGTATAGAAAAATATATATATTGGGTCCTGGAAGAATGACTTCCTCATTGTCTTTTCATTGTGTCCTCTACGAAAGTTCTTTATGGATGTTTTACACCATACTAACAATTAATAAACTGAAGTATGTCAATAATTTAGAGGTAAACTAATGAAAGATGGGGCTGGGGATGTGGCTCAAGCAGTAGCGCGCTCGCCTGGCATGCGTGCGGCCCGGGTTCGATCCTCCATGCACCACATACAAACAAAGATGTTGTGTCCGCCAATAACTAATAAATAAATAAATATTTTTTAAAAAAATAAAAAAAAAAAACTAATGAAAGATGAAGGACATTGCTAAAAGTTTCAAAAAAAAGTTTTGAAACTACCAATCTAAATAATCTACCAAGTAAATTTCTGACAATGCTATACCCACTTTAATAAGACTCTTAAAGTCACCAATTTTAATCATTGGGTAATTTTTAACTTTAAATATAAATTTAAACCATAATTACATTGCCAATTTTATTTGAAATATAACATTGAAAAGCACCTACCTAACTTAGTCCAACAGTAACTTAACACAAGCCTGTCTCAAAACATTTTTAAAAAGAGACTGGGGATGTAGCTCAGTTGTAGCCCCCTATGTTCAACTCTCAGTGCCAAAAAAGAAAAAAAAAAGAGAGAGAGAGGGAGAGAGAAAGAAAAGAACATACCTATACCTATTGTAAGTTTTTTTATACTTAAAACTGGAATAATATATAATAATATTGTATCAATACATGTTTCAGGGAATACTAAGAAACATACCGAATTTTTAAATAATCCATAACCTAGTACAGAGTTAATGAATGCCTTCCAAATTATATCATGTTGCTGATAAGAGTTACAATACACGATTAAGACTAATTTTCAGCATACTTCATTTTCATATCTAAAATGTTCGAAATAGTTAATATGTAACTGGTTAAAACCATTGGCCTCTAAACTAGCTAATGTTTGTCAAAACAAAAGGATCCTACCCAGGCGAAAAATTCCATTTATACAAATAATCAAAAATGTATATACTTTAAGAGAGATTTGAAATCAGATGAGACAAGGAAATAATAGAAAGTATTTAAATCTGTAACTTATGATAAGGAAAGGCACTTTCATCCCTGTAACCTCCCACAACTTGAAACAAAAGTATAGAGTCAAGAACTTTCAAAAATCAAGGCTCATCAGACAGCACTGTTTTCTTCTTGGGCCCTGACAAACCTGAGTGCCAATCAAGGCCAATACACTAACTTTAACCTAACTTGAAGTAAATGTTGAGCCAGCAACAACAACGTATTCAGACCAATGGATTTAGAACATTCATATTGTCACTCAGCAAAACAGTAACCTCTGCATCAGAACTACAGGAATATAATTCACAAAATGATTCCCTATCACCACACTAAATGAATATTATCCTACACTGAAAATGGACACATACCCAATTCTTGTCACCACACTAATGGCTATAGCCCTAAACAAAAGTATTCAGATTTCAAAGTTTAAAAAGATGACAAAGCAATGCACTCCTAATACTACAACTCACAGATTAAAATTTACCACAAGCAGACACTTTGCCCAAGAAAATAAACTTTCATCAATCTGCCCTCCATTTGGATGCTACTGCACACAGCCTCCATTCTCAGTAGAAATGCCCATCATTGAGGTAAAGTCTTAATGCTCCAAGCAAACTTTCTTAATCAGAGAAAACTAAAGCTCCTTTGCTCCTTCCCAATTTTAGCGAAACTTCACATTGTCAAAATGCTATATTTTCTGTGAAACATTAACACTGCATATTTATTAGTTTATGACAACCCAGTACTAATGTTTGACTGAAATGTGGGCAGGGTTAACCACCAAAAGCAAGGCACCAAAAGGCAAGAAAATGCAAACACAGAAAATCATGCTACCTTAGTTAAGTCAGCGTGCACATTTTACATGTTTCAATACAAGCCAAGCAGATCAAAGAGAGCTCAAGACACAAGTTGGTTTCTGTCAAATCCAGATTAAATATTCTTCTCATTGATAACTTCCTAGTTCCATATTTCAAATTTAACATTATAAATATAAAGTAGTGCTAAGCAAAACAACCTAAAAAATTTGTCCTTAAAGTAATTATACCCTTAAAAATAGAAATTTATCTACCTCATTAGTGTTCCAACGGTGCCTCTCTTTTGGTAAACTTGAACATTTCGGCAGACATTCAAGCAGCTTTTTCGGTAAAAAGATTTTTACATGACTACTATTGCTGTTCCCATGATCATCTATAAAGAAGAAAACAATAAATTCAGACAAAATAAGAGAAAAGCCTCCCATTAAGTAAACTGGCAAGGTCAGAAACAGCAGCTCAGCTTGGTCACTGTAAGACCAAGAGCAGCAGAGGGCCACTATTCCTCTTAGCAACACTCATCTACAACCTGATCAGATGGATGGCAGCAGGTAGCTGGCCACAAGGTTCTAAAATAGGATGGAGCTTTGCTCCATCACAAGCAAGGGAACAAGGAATATCCCAGCAGCTGCCATAAATAGAATGTTACTTTTAATGGGTTTTTTCCCCCCGTGTTTCCATGAAGCACATCATAATTACAAAATGATTTAACCTGGCAAAACCCAAAAATCTTTTATTAACCACTTGAAAAAGCTTAAAAATTTTTAGGTAAGAAAAATTATAATAATACATGAGTATTTTATTAACTAATACCACTTCGTCCCTTTGAATACAAATGTGATTCATCCTTTCAAAACCAAGTCACAAATCTTATAAATACCAGGAAGTTAAATCTGCAGCTAACCTTTCTATCTTGAATCGAAAAATCTCACTTTGATTAACTTGATATACATGCACATATCTATAGAATATATTTCATCAAAATGTAACTCTTTGAAATGAATTTTTAAAAATTAATTACTTTTAGACTAGATGTTAAATCGGACAACCTATAATCAATCAGTCTACAAGATGCCTTCTAAAAAATATATATAACATTTATTTCAGTCATTTATTTACATATCATTTATTATTTGAATCCTATAACATAGTCCCTTTGCCTGGTTCAAAACTCCTAGCAGTTGTGGCACACTTAGGTCAACGTTTCAAATTACCCACTCCAATTTTTCTTAGGGCTAAATAAATTCCCCCAAAATATAACCATAGGGTGTAATGAATAACTAAGTATTAAGGAACAGCACACTGAAACATTAAGGATTAAATTTGCTCCAGTAAGACAGCTGTATCAACTTTTTCTGATATCAATAAGGTACAACAGAAACACTAAATTCAGACTTAAAGAGACCAAGATTCTGGCCCAGTTCTGCTATTTTCCAATTGTGTGACCTTGGGTAAGTTACTTAATATTTTCAGTTTTCCCAAATCATTAGAGAATCAGAGATCTTCTAATTCTGCTTTAGGCACAAATCTCTCTAAAATTTACTATCATTCAATAACATCTTAAGAATTCAGCAGCCTTACATAGGTATATAGGCATTAGTTAATGATGTTAGAAGTAAAATACAATATTTTTCTAGTTATTCACAGTAATTTTGTTTAGCACAGCCTATTTTTGAACGTGCAAAAACATAAAAGAATTTTAAAATATTTAAGCTCAGAAAACTCTCTCCAAACATTTCTCATCTGATTAACACATTTCTTTTCATGGAAAAGATCTTAAAAGGAAAATACTGGGCATAGAAATAGTCTAAAAAAATTTACTACATCATATAGAATATTTTATAGGGATGAACTTAAGAGAGTTTTATCGTACTAAATCTTTTTTGGTCCATAAACTACATAACCAATTGAATTATAATGCCATCATATATTTCTATAACAGGATARAAACTCAAAAAATTTAAAAATGGATTGCTTTTAAGATTCTAAAGTTTTAATTTAATAGCAAAATAAGATTAAACTTTCAAAAAGTCTTACTTAGAAATCAAAAGGAAACTGTTAACTAGGAGAAAGTTCATAGAAAGTTCTGTATTAATTACACACTATAAAACCTTTGTAATTTTATGTGCTTATGCATGCTCCCTGCACTTCGTCCTCCAGAGGGAGGTACCATGGGCCATAAAACTTTAAAGCACAGAAGACCAAATCACAGGAGCCTTCACCTCCCTTCTCTCAGCCCCTAAAGTGGTTTTATTCTCATTTCTAAAAAATCACCATGATGATGTATACGGTTTGGGGAATAGAGATAAAATTCTAAAATCTACACTCAATTCAAATAGTCAATATTTACAGGGTACCTTTTCTGAAAATAGCACTGTGCTAGGTGCTTGACAGATGGGCTTACACTGCACTGCATATGAACAGTCTTGTTTCTGAGAAAGCTGGCTGTTAAAGAGTTCTGAAAACCAGTGATGTTCAGAGCAGAGGAGTGTACCTTAGCTTCTGGCTCAGAGTTTGTGGTCACAACCTGGTACGTTTTCTATTTTCTGTCCAAAGCCTCTATGAGGAACCTAGCTACCCATGGTAAAAATACAGTGTGTGTGTGTGTGTGTGTGTATGTGTGTGTGTTCTTGACACCACAACTGGCTGTTACAGGAAAAGCTTCAGTCCTCCACTATGATACCAAACCAGGCTGTGGTGATTCAGCCCAGAGGCTTTTAAAGAAGAAAAAGCAGAGCAGCTCTGTAAGTGTCATCTCAACCAGGCTTCCTCATCCAGCACTCACGGGATGTGCAGCCAGGGCCTAAAAATGAATAAGACCATGACCAGCCGTCAGGTTCCCCTTAATCAGCTTCTAAACTGTACCATTTCCAGGACTTAGGCTCATGCTAATGTAAACTGGATGTTTTTAAGAAACACAACGTTGGGTAAATTTTCCCACTATGCATTATGAATATGGTGATTTCACTACTGGGGAAAAGAAAGTATTAAGAACTCAAAAAGGCAAAAATGTTAACTCTTGTCTTAAATTTTTGGTGTTTCTGGTTAAGTGTAATAAAGAAAAACTGCTTTTACACTGGCAAGGAACTGTTCACATGGCAATACTGCATGAAAATGTGTTTTTAATTAAAAGCTACTGTGTAATGTTTTTAGACTAGCTATAAATGATTAATAACATGCCAGTTTTTAAATCCTAATAACAGTATCTTAATAAAATTAAGGTATATGCTGGTTTCAACTGCATCAGTCTTCAATCCAAATAGTCAAACCCTAACCCTGCAAGGTGGGAGTGTCAACCAAATGTCAGTGAAACATTTCACTATTGTTATCTAACAAAATATGCACGTATGATATATGACTCTACAAAATAATTTTCTAACCTACTTCACAATAAAAACATAACTAGTGAAGCTCTTAAAATTGACAGATGATTTATCTGGCTGACAGCTATAATTCTAGAGAATGAACCAGCCTTTCTAGTCAACCTTCAAATATTTTCCAAATGATAATTTTAGAGGCATAATATAATTTAACTAAATCTTTCTAAAATGTATAAAAATGCTCATTCACTTAGTTAACAAGAAAAAAGTAAAACACTTGCTTTCAGTTTTGTTTCCAATAATTCTGATTCAGGTTGCCAAATCCTTTATTTAAATAAAGAAATGTATTTGACATGTTCCTTGGGACAGGCTGTGCCTTCTGCAAGGTAAACTGTAACTATATTAACTCTAAACTAGAAATTATACATCGTTTTGATTTATAATTAATAAAAATTAAATAATGAGTTCTACAATGATGAAGACTGTTATTCAATCAAGTTGATTATGATTAATCTCTCAACCTCTAGACCAAACTGTTCAAAATAAGTTGATATAACAGTGTATCCAATTGCTAAATCTTATTGGGAATATATTTGATCAACAACTTGGAGTGGTAAAATTAAAAGGAAGCTCTACAATTTTCTGTTTAGCTCTAATTATTATGTGCTGAGATTTAATGAGTAGGAGAGGAACTGATTCAGGAAAACATAAGCACATATTGTTACATCCAAGTCAGCACAGTGCTCACAGCAGCCAGCATTGTCCTGACTAACCTCAGACCTTCAAAGCACTGTTCATCCAAAATAAATATTAATTAAGCACTGACTATGTGCCAAGCATAGATCAGATTTTGCATTATTCTTTTCCARTGCAAGTCTCCACAATGTATTAAGCCCAATTATAATTACAGAAAAGATTTTTAAAAGGGTAAAAAAAATAATTTTTTTAAGTAAAAAACATTAACTAGTTTTGCTCTTTAATAACCTTTCTCCTCCTTCCTATTTTTAGATGGCCCAGATTTACCTTTATCCTGTCAATCATGTTACTAAATCCCTAGTCCAGGTTTGGGTAGACTCATAACTCAGGTTTGATAAACTTCTATTCTGCATTTACATTTTCAATCTAAAAATATGTGAATGGGGCAGGTAAAGTACAGGCACAGACGCCCTTCAATCCATGACTTCAATTTGGGTTTGAGAGTACCCTATCCTGCTTTATTCCATACAATTCCAACTTCAGTTACATGTGATCAAGTAAATCTATTTTCTATTACTGACTGGAGGTAAGCATTTGTGGGACTCTAATACATGAAGCACCCAGAAAATACTTTACATTGGACTTTCTCAGTTAATCCTCTGATAAAATAGAAAAGCTTCATTACTCCCACTTTACAGATGAGGAACCTGAGGTTGAGATTCATTGTCCAGGGTCCACAGATACAAGTGGCTCAACTGGGATCAAACATGACCTGTGGCTTCTCCCACATTGCCACACTATTCCTACTCTATACTACTTGGTATAGGACTCTAGTATTACACAACTGTTCTATTAATATCCAACATCTGCAGAGTGCTTTGGCTTTCCTGTGTGACTGAATCCATTGCTTTGTGAATCCTCAGTAACCTTATGAGAGAGTTCTTTCTGCGACCCCAGAAGGATTAAGTAACTCATCTAAGATCACACAGCAGTTAAAAGGCCTTCTAAGTCCTGGTCAAAAGCTGATTCACTGCACTGACAGAGGAGTCACTCTCACTGCCAAGCCCACCCCTTCCTGTTAAGTCAAAAGCTTTTTCAAATCCTACCTTCTATAGGTGGCACGGTGTTGAGAACACAGTAGGTGCTAGTTCCGCAGAATACACTTTGGGAAACGCTCTAAGGAAACAGAAAATAAAATGTAAAACTAATCTTTGAAGAAGATATATTCTGGCTCTTCTGTGATATTCCTGACAAAGATGCAAAACCTGAATCTAATCATGAGGAAACATCAYACAAATCCAAAATGAAGAACATTCCACAAAATGACTGGCCTGCAATCTTCAATAGGGTCAAGGTCAAGAAAGTCAAAAAGGACTGAGAACTGTTCTGTATTAAATAAGACTGAAGAGACAACAGAATGTATCCAAGGTTCAGATTACACATTTTTGTTTTTTAAACAAAGGTCACTGCTGGTCAACAGGCAAAACTGAAATAGGATTTGAGGATTAGAGGGTAGAGATGTCCCAATATTAATTTCCCAATTGTGATTAATATATTATAGTAATGTTCTTGTTTTTAAGAAATACATAACAAAGTATTTGAGAATGACAAAATTATCAACAATTTATTCACAAATTTTGGGAAAAAGTTCTTTTCACTGCAGGCATATGATGGTTGCAAAAATTAAGATACAGCCAGGTGCAGTGACACATGCCTGTAATCCCAGCAACTCAGGAGGCTGGAGCAGGAGGATCTTAAGCTCAAAACCAGCCTGGACAACTTGGTAAGGTCCTGTCTCGAAGTAAAATAATAAGGGCTAGGGATGCAGCTCAGTGGCAAAGCGCTTGCCTAGCATGCATGTATCCCCAACACCACAAACTACTACTTAAGATTTGTGTGTGAAAAAAAGAACCCTGCTAGTGAACATTCATTATTTTTGTTACTTTTTTAAATGGGACACATATGTGCAGTACATAGAGTAAATTTTTACTAAGAACCAATGTTATATTTATTTTGCAGGCAATCAATATCAACATTATTAACCATTTCCCAGCAATATGCCCAACACCCAACTCATACAAAAGAATCTCAGTGCCAACCAGCAGTATGGAGGCTGGAACAATCAGGAGGAAGTCGGAAGACAGAGTCTCTGCTCTCAGGCTGCTTCAGTCAGATAAAACTATAGAGTTTTCATATTAAAATCTACACAAGGGTAACTTAAAAATTTTTTCTTTGGTTCTTGCCAGCCAATTATTTTCAGTCCTAATAACTTTTTTGTTTGGTTGTGGTATTATGTAAAATTTTAGATTATGCATCCTACATTATAAACTATCCATCTGTATACTTAGAAAACCAAAGATTGTTTACAAGTTCAGCAACCACCCTTAACATTTCTTATTTCAACTATGAAGAGCTCAGTTCTATCACTTGCTAGCTGTCCTTGGGAAAGTAACTGAACCTCTCTCTGTATTTCCTCATCAAAAAAAAAAAAAAAAGACAAGAGACCACTCTTGTCTTACAGGGCAGGAGGGGGAAGTAAATGGAATAATACATTCCAAAGTACTTTGGGGCTGGGGATGTGGCTCAAGCGGTAGCGAGCTCGCCTGGCATGCGTGCGGCCCGGGTTCGATCCTCAGCACCACATACAAAAACAAAGATGTTGTGTCTGCCGAAAACTAAAAAATAAATATTAAAATTCATTCATTCTCTCTCTCTCTCTTTTAAAAAAAAAAGTACTTTAAATTCAAAAAGACCTAACAAATAAAATAAGCAATTGTTACTATGTCAATAAGAATACTCTTCAACAATCTACCTTTTCTAAGAACAAAGTGAGGATAGCCTGAATTTTTTATGCCAAAAAGAATGTTAAAACCTGACTAAACTTGACTTCCATGAATTTTTAATTTTCCTCTCCCTTACATCCATAGTCAAGTGCTTCAGAAGTCAAATTATTTTCAGGGTCCATATAATAAATCCTTCTCCATAAAATGCCTTCGAGCTACCAGGATAACCATCAACTTCTTAATTCTTTTCTGTTTCTGGAAAAATTCTTGTTCTTAGGCTTTTAACTGTCTCTCTTTGAGTTCATCAGCAGTGGCTACCTATAGTAATATGTGCAGTAACAACCTGGGGCTGAGCACACTGTGCACACTTGTAATCCCAGTGGCTTGGGAGACAGAGGCAGGAGGATCGGGAGTTCAAAGCCAGCCTCAGCAACTTATCAAGGCCCTAAGCAACTCAGTGAGACCCCGTCCCTAAATAAAATATTTTTTTAAAGGGCTGGGGATGTGGTTCGGTGGTAAAGCACCCCTGAGTTCAGCCCATGATACCTGGGAAAGCATCTGGATCCAAGGATCCTCCCTCTGAACTATGGACTACCCTCAGAGAATGGGATGACAGCATGCAAAGAGGCTGATGTGACATCAGCAGAACCTGCCTTCCACCGACATCTACAGTCTCCAACAGCCCACTGCAACACAAAGGCAACATTCTCATACTCATACAGATTCTAAACTGAAACTTTTAGTTTATGGTGCTAGGCCAAGTGTGTGTAATCCCTGTAATCCCAGTGACTCACTCCAGAGAATGAGGCAGGAGGGTTGCAAGTTTGAGACCAGCCTCAGCAACCTAGCAAAATCCTGTCTCAAAATAAAAATTAAAAAGGGCTAGAGATATAGCTCAGTAGCTAAGTGCCCTTGGGTTCAATCCCCAGTACCAAAACAAAAGTTCTATGGTGTTTTAAAAAAATCTTATATTCAAGAAGATATTTTCTGATATCCTATTACCAAAAGCAGACAGCRAAAGATGAAGCATTTTTCAAGATATCTTAACCATGGTCCCAGTCAAAATTTATGCTCAGTGAGACACGCTAATGAACAGCTTCATAAAAAAAGGATTTTCATACCCAAATTCAAAGTCTGATGACAAGTAAATCAGTGGTAAAATGTTCCAAATAACAAACAGAAAAAAGTAAGCATGAAAATAGTATCTATAACAAAAATATCATGGACAAAATCAAGCATGCTTTCTTATAGCAGTGGTATAATAAAGTTTAACAGTTAATTTAACTAGGAAAGCAACTCACATAAGTTGAGAGTGAAATCTAGTAAGTCATCCTAACCTCAAAACCTCCAGGCTCTCACAACACATTAGCAAAAGCACAAGAAAAGTGGAAAGGGAATGGCTGCTTTTGAAGAYTTCCTGTGCTGAGCAGTGAGTGAGGGTCTTGCACAGGACCACAAACTGAGCATCGCTGTCACTAGATGCCTGTCTGTAATACTGTGGTAACTCAGCCACAGAGGGAGGAGGCAGCCCCAAGTATCTGTAGAGCTGAAGTGGTCCATCCCAGTTCCCCAGTTCACTGTGGAGAAGTCCAGGCAAACCAGCCTCTCAGGACAACAGGGCAGACTGGAAAGGCACAAGCTTTCAAGTCAGAGAGATGTGGGCTTGCACCCTCCCTCATCTGTGGAGGTCCTGGGCTCTACTTGGCCAAGTCTTGCACTGGCCCATGCATTAGTCCATCAGAAAGCCTCTAGTGGCAAGGCTAGGCAGCCCTCTGAGTGCCTCTAGAGCAGCCTGTGTTTCCCTCCTTATTGTAATTCCTTCCATTTGGTCTAAAATTATGAAAGGAGCACCTGCCACATGCCAGACACTGTTCTGGGAACTGGGATCCAGCAGTCAACAAGACAAGCAAGGGGCCTGCCCACCATAGATGCATGTCAGAGGAGCAAGGCAGACAGTAAGTGGGATACTTTCTAATAGGGATAAATGTTACAAAGGAAACAGAAGAGTGATGTGCTACTATGAGAACTCAGTGGAACTTTTTTTGTTGTTCCTAAATGTACATCCATGGTGGGGTAAAGGAAATGCTCTATTAGAAGATCAAGAAACCTCATCATTAAACAAATCAACAATTCTCAGCCTCAGCCGGTCATCTAGGGAGATTTTTTTTTTTTTTTTTTTTTTTTAAATTCTGATACCCAGACTGCAATCCTGACCAGTTAGGGCAGAATGTCTGGGGAGTGGACCCCAGCATTAATAGTTCCCAAGTGATCCCAAGATGTGAAATAAACAGTTGTGTGGCTCTGGGCAACTATGACTTTCCTGGTTTTCTCAAGAGTCAAATGGGAGGTTGACTTGAGCAGGGCTTCTCCAACTTTATGTGCATGCAGGTCATCTGAGGATCCTGTTTAAATGCGGGTTCTGATTCACAGGTCTGTGTGGGGCCTGAGAGTCTGTCTCTAAAAAGCCCCAGGTGATGCCGATGCCGTGATTCATGGACACACCTTGAGTATCAGGAACCAGATGATCAACCTAAAAAATCAGGAATTAGATAAATGGTCTAAAAAAAGATCCTTCCAGTCCTGACATTCCTTAACTGCATAATTCTATGAATTTTCAATAGGTTAAAAAGTACTTTTGTCTGCTAATACAGACTATAATACAAAACTAAACCAAAATATCCAAGCAAGATAAATTAAGAAATACCATAGAAATAGTTAACTCAATTAAGTATAGCACCCAGTATCTGCTAGAAGTACCCAAGGGGAAATGCAGAACACTAAAAACTATATTTCCAGCTTTTCAGAAAGTACACTATCTAGTGGAGGAGACAACAATGAAAATGGAGTGATGAAAAAATAATGCATGGCACATTAAAGGCTAAAATGAGGGGCAGATGGTGGCAGTGTGGAAATGAAGTAACTAGTAATATGCTAAGGACAAACTCTTTGAAGCAGGGGCTATGTTTTACTCATTTTGTCTCTCTTCAGGTCAGTATGTTACACTCAGGCACTTTCATTACATATGTACATAGTTTTTGGATGATGAATTACTAAAACAAAATGCTATATAATAAGAAGTGATAACAGTCTTTGGAATAGAATAAGTATCATGATGAAAACTGTATTTACAGTTCTTTGAAATAAGGACTGAGGATGTTTAAGTCTCCACAGAGTACCTTTAAAGCTAACTAAGAATCCACATATCTTATTAAATCAAAGACAGAGAGAGGCCATACTGAGTGCAATAAACCACTGTACCAATTACAAGTGATGCATTAAACATTTTTTGTCACTCTATCCTGACTTAGATTGATTCATGAAGTGCACAGCCACTGCACATAGCATTACATACAAATAATCAAGGCAGAATCTGAAATCCTTCACCCCTTTAGT